TGAGACGAGAAGTATGTGATAGACTTCACTTGTACTTTATCATTTGGCGCCTATAAGATCTACAGGAGTATCAAGTCGGACTTCGATGCTGTCCTCTCTCAGAGTACTTGAAGGCCCAAAAGCGCTGTGTCATTTGTCAAGCGCAACGGCAGTCTCGAACCGTTAATCATACTTTCGGTTCTCAGCTTACCAAAGCAGCTCAGCCCTGGGAACTCTTAGGAATCGACCTTATCGGTCCTTTCCGCCAAGATGAGTTCCGCGCTCCTCATTATGATTCATTGATGTCTTTGTTGGTGGTCGACGCTTTAACTGGTTATGTTACCTACGCTATTGTTCCCGACAACGCTCCTACCCATTTAACCCTTATTGCTTTAGAGGGCATTTTCCTAGCTCGTGGTTACCCTCTGGGTTTGCTCTCCGATTCAGACGCTCGCTTTACAAGTACTGCTGCAGTGGCATGGAGCAAGGCCCTTGGCATTAGGTGGGCACGGAGCCCGGGACACGCTAGTCGATTGAATGGCTGGCATGAATCCCGCCACAGATTGGTGAATTTTATGTTAAGATGTCTCATCCAGCAGACTGGCAATAAGATTCACTGGACAATCTTGATGGCTAGGGTATGCTATATTGTTAATAATATTGTTCACTCTTCTCCGTCCTCCAGCTCCTTCAGTAGCGACCTGCATTTCGTTCACGGTCGTTGTCTACCCCCAGCTATATCTCCCAGTCGGGTCCTATCGAAGCAAGCGCATGATAGCTTGGATCATTTCATTCCTCTCCGAATGCCAGGCATTCAATGCCTGATCGAGCTGATGCTGATAAGTTGCTACACGATATCAGTTTAAGAATTTCCTCTGATTGTAAGTGGGCCCAGATTTCCGCTGAAAATGTGGACTCAACTCTTCGTGCTCGATCTACCTTTGCTGATACTTCTGCTGCCCGTTCTGACTTTTCTGTCTTATCAGTTGGGGACCATGTTCTCCGGTACAACTTTGGTAGATCTAAACTCAGCCGGAAATGGCTTGTTGACCAGGTCTACGTGGTCCGTGCTATTAAAGGAGCTGTAGCTGCTATTTCTCCTATTAACTCTCCTTCTCTGTCCTATGAATATATTGGTAACTTGAAGGTAGTCACTTCTGCGGCGGGGGAGTGTTGATAAGTATTCATAGTTGACTTGATATCTTGCTCTCTTGCTCTTCTTTGTATAATCTATAGCTGACACCTTAACAGACTTTATAGCTGTACAACAGTTATTCGAGCTGTATATACCCTATCGTCAGCAGCTCATCTGAATCTTGCGTTCCCCTAGTCCTTCAAGAGAACATCTGCTTTGCAACATGCCAGTGCGCCCGGTGTGACGCGCCCTTCGTATCGGTATCTAACCTGTGTTAACTTGTTAACTCGTATTAAATATCCCACTCCTGGGCGCGTGGGTCTGGTGGGCTGGAAGGCCGGAGACGTCTGCGGCTTCCAGCCCTCGAAGCATCGAGTCAGTCCGTCGTCGACGTACATGAAGCCGGCTGCCGTACCGCACGGCAGCCAGGGTTTCAAGATATTTGTCGCACAGTTCTGGACTGCTCGCGCATAGCATACGAACCAGAACCCGCTTGAGTTGAGCCCGAAGGGCAACGAACAGTTTTCGAAGTAGGAGGCAACGCCGCTGCTGTCCTCGTGGCAGAAGGATAGGTGCCGTCTCTCCTCGGGATGGATCTTCAGGAAGCGGTACGCACTCTCCATGTCCAGCTCGAAGAGGAGCCACTTACTCACGGGGTATTTCTGCTGCAGCTCACCCACCAATCTCCGAGTACAGGTCGTGGACGGGAGCTTATTGGAGTTCGGAACTTTGGCCCGGAGATTTATGTTACCCCGGAGGTAGTCATCGATCACTCTCACCCCACCATCTTTCTTTGGGATGGCTCCTCGAGGGACGAAGCTCCGGCTGCGGTCAAGGGTATCCCCCTCGTTCAGTTTCCTGATGAAGCCTTGGGCCTCCTCCTTGCGCAACGTCTCCTCGACGGCATCGATGACAGTAGGGTCTCTCATGGATGAGTAGTTCTTGAAGCCGTCGCCGATTGTTTTGGTCGGGAAAGGGGAGTGCATTTTCTTGTTGTATCAGGGGAAGATGGGACACGGGGCGATCTCTCGCGAAATGCCAATTGGCAGGCTCTCTTCGCAGAGATTCCCGATGTCATGGTCGTCGA